TCATTACAATACACCTTTTGAGCTGATACACCTGTAATATAAAATGAAGATATTTTTTAGTTTAATTGTTTTATATTTTATTATTTTATGTGTTGATTTTCAATATTTTTTAATTAAATACATTAATTTTTTGTGTATCCATAGAGCTGTTATACGAAATGAATCGCTCGTGAGCTTAGCTCGACTAGCTCGAGTTTAAGTTTATTTTGTTTGATACACGAGTCAAGCTCATTTCGTTAACGAGTCAGACTCGACTTAGCTCGATAAGATTCAAAAAGAAAATTTTATATAAATTTCTATAGTTTTGCACGTTAGAGCTCGAGATCGATTTGTTAAGGTTTGAACATGACTCGTTAATATTGATAAACAACCCGAGCTCAAACTCAATTTCTGGCTCGTTTACTTAACGAGCCGAGCCGAACTCGACTCCTTAAGAGCTCGAGCTCGAGCACCCTGAGCTTGATCTCGGCTCAACTTAGCTCATTTATAGCTCAATGCATGCATGAGAGCAATACATGTAGGTATAAACTTTTATTCATGAACTTATAAAAATACTCGAGTAAATTAAACTAATTTTAAAATTTAATAATTTTTATATATAAAAAATTAAAATATTCATTTTAGCGATGTTTAATTTGTCATCTATATTACATGTGTAAAATATGAAAAGAAAAAAAAATATACTTTTATGAGTGAGTCTTAAGTATGACGGATTAAGTATGATATAGAAACACATTCTAAATAGAAATGTTAATGTATTATTTAAAAAAGTTTTTACAATATATATATATATATATATAGATATATAATTATTTTTTAAATGTTTAAGGCTTATGTACAGAACAATCATATATAACTTTTACTTCAATTATGATTTAATCACAATTATTCGAGTAATTTTGACATTAAACTGTGGAAGTGGAAATAATTTCTTGCCATTGAGTCACCAACCAATAAATGAAGAAATACTATTTCTGTACAATCGTGTACTTCATTTGGAATGCGAGGAATAGGTTGATTTTCGCGAATGAATCTCAACCTCCGAGCCTTGTGGTACGTAAGAATTAAGATCAAAACTCATGTTTATCGTACTATATTTGCAGTATATCCGAATGTACTTGCCGAGTTTGATAGGAAAAGCATTGGGCTTGGATAGACTTATCTCTTGCACTTGGGGCATGTGATGCGCTACTGTTTCTTTACATTTGTCACGTTTAGAGACCTAAGTGAGCAACCCGACTTGTAGTTGTCCTCGTATTATTAATATTCGCGAGTGAAGAACCGAACTTGTGGTTGCCCGCTGCGCTTTTGTACACCGATTATCGGTTGTCTGAACTACAGTTTTAATCTATAAATTTACTCAAAAATTACAACCTAAATATAGAAAAATATGAAGACAACCAAACCACTACACTTGACCTAAGTTATA